TGAATAAAAAATGAAACCTTTTAACATTACCATAGGAAGTTGAGTTATTCTTCTGTAATGAAAAACGCCAATGAGAGAATCGAACCAAAACGCATTCCAAAGGTTAACCCTATTAGACTAAATTGTGTGAAGACAGTATGGGTATTGTCATTTGCCGGTGGAAAGCACATTCAGATCACTAGAATGAAAGCGATCTCTTATTTTCCTCGACGGTCTTTCTTCCTTTTTTTCTAACAAGAGAAAAATGTTTTGCCGTATAAAATTGTCTAGTAAATTTAATGCCCTAAAACGTATTTGATTGATGACCAGTTCTTGTTACTGTCGTATACCAGACTAGGGAGGATCTTGTATATATAAAAGTATGGTCTGCCCCAGTGTCACCGCATGCACAAACCTGGCAAGTTCGCACAATGAAAGGAACAAAGTAACCTCCATATCTACCTTGAAGTCATTGACCCGAGCGTTATGATGGCGGTCCGCTCCGACTGGTCTTGTAACGCGAAAATATAATGTGTGAAGATAGCTCGCGTTATTGACTTATCTGTCACTTTATATCGATGGATATCTTTTAAATGAGCTTTAGGAATGATATCTCTAACCCTTTTCAGGAGCTTACTGCTAAGGCGATTAAGGGCAATTTCGGATTACAGAGAGCTTCTGAGAAATCCCCATTTATTTTTCGAATTCTAAAAGCAAAATTAATAGAATTTCCTATTCGCGCTGGTCATATCTTTCACTTTGTCACATTGGGGGCAGATGCTCGCACTTTAGACATAATTTATATATATAAAAGCGCACAGAGGGGGTAATAACCCCCTCTCCCCACCCTACGGTTGTTAGACTTGTGAAAATGTTGATAAAAATGAATGAACCTTTCGTTTTATACGCTTGAAACAACAAAAAAGTTTCCACTTTTGATTCTTACCTCCTGCCCCTAATATTGCAAGTGAAAATTGACAGTGTAAGACGTAAGGGTAGTGCCAGCGCATTGAGAACTGTGACACAATAAAAGAGTAGTATTATGAGTATTATGAAACTCAAGACAACGCATTTGCTTACATTTGGCAAAAAAAAAAAACATAATAATAATAATAATAATAATAACAATAATAATAATAATAATAAATAAATAAATAAATATAAATCAAAAATAAATAAAACAAAATGAAAAATAAATAAAAACGATTATATTAGTATAAGGATTATGAAGTTGCTGACTACAAGTAGCATCACTGACAACAATTTGATTTTGGATGCGTTTTATGCAAGCTGACAGATGTCCTCGTGATGGCTCGTGTAATTCTTAGTAAACGCTGCTAGATATCTTAACTCTAGAGGTATACCCGCAGCTTCAGCATTAGTAAATTGACCTAGAAACGTTATATATTTTTAATTCTTGTTTCACATTCTTGGAAAAGTGATAAATATATCGATTCCGTAGGTGATTTTGCTGGAGGGTAACTTTTTATATCTTTTAATGGCAACTTCTTCTAGACCCAAGGGTTTTGCTTCATACGTTAAATACACCTGAATCTTCCTCTCCTTGAGGGCGCAAATTACTGTATTTTTCATGATTATGTATTTCTTTTTTATGTCATGGGACATAGAAACAAAATCAGATTGATGCAGTATTAAAATGCTGTTTGTGGTAACAAAACAAAAAAAAAAAAAAAAAAAAAAAAGGAGATGATTATACTTGTTGTGAACGAGTTTGATTGACCAGGCAATCAAATGATTTGGGGTTGTTTTATTTCGCTGGAAAACAAGTATGGATGTTTTCCTGGAATGTAGACAATCTCTTTGGTAATAACGATTTCCAGTATGTTGAAATAATTTATCTATTAATTTGCCTATAAGGTGATCAGCTAATCTGTTCTAGTTTTCGGAACATTAATTTATCTTTATAAAATTTTTGTATTAAAATACACTTGGCTGTGTGTATAACTGATTGTCACAGAGATATATATATTAAACACACCAGAGACCCGAGGAAAAACAACTAATGTGGAATGTGGAACAGATGATACACAAGTTAGATGGATAGCAGTACTGGTATCTGTGTACATAATCATCCTGATGTGACTTTTACGATACTACACCTCAAGTCTTATTTGAGATCTTTTGAAAAACATACAATCGTGCCACTCGATTCAGCTGAGGATCCCTTCCAGGAAATGAAGACCTGTTTTTTCGAACTGTACATTGATTTTCACTCACCTTGGTCTCCACTGGCATCTCCACGACACGCCAACGTTAGATTCCACCGTAAGTCAGAAAACATCTTCATCAGCCATGTAATGCAGCAAGCATAACGCGCAGTAATTTTTCTTCAAACAGCAAGAATTAAAAAATTGTTTGTCTCATATATTCTACAATAGGCCACCTCTCAGTAAGAAGCTATTCGCCTGGATCGCCACATTCCCTGACGAAGATGCTGTTCATAGATAAATAGACCGAGATATTGGGAGTAAACAACAATTTCAATTTAAGCTGTTGATTAAAGAAAAGTTACCTCTTTCTTCTTAGATTTCATTGCGTTTTTGAGCTCTTTCAAAATGTGTAGAGAGTGATCAGCTCATCGAATAGACTTGAAGTGTCTTACCTTTGGTCAGTTTGTTCACAAGTGGTTTTTACCTTTCAGTCCACACAAATAATTATCTGTTATATAATTTGACAAATACAAACAAATAACTCCACATAATTGAGTGGGTCAATTTATGATTACCTAACCGTCGACCGGATTTATAAAGAAACGCGTGCAACAATATGTCGTGTAAGTACTGTAATTTTAGGGGTCCTATCAACCATATTGTGCATTGGTATTGAAGGTCAAAGTTGCTGACAAAAGCCGAAAAGGACTGTCCCCAAAGATTCACTGTGCAATTTCCGGAATATCGCAGTCGCCATGAAGGGAATTTAATTTTTTTAGACAATACTTCCTAGCGTCATTGGTGACCTTCTGTTTCTTACACCTTTTCACGAGTTCTAAACTCAAAATGCCATTTGAATATTTGTTATTAGACCTTCTTTTGTTCACTCTTCCTTTAGATGAAGCCAAGTGAACAATTCAGTACGTTACTTGCACTTTCGTATAACACGCTTTGAAACGTACCCAGTTTATTTGAAGGAAAATAGGAAGATTTATTACAAAAAATATCTAACAAACACCCCCAATTTACATATGCCAAGTGACATGTATTGACACTAATTGCACTGATATCAATGAATACATCGGCCAAAGACCAAATGATTCGCCCAAGGCAATAATATTGCCATAATGGCGCATTTACCCGATAGTGTTTCTAAGGTGACTTTTTTCATGAGAACAAGATGCTTGTGAATCTTTTATTTCGAAGCATGATGAAAACTTGTAACATTGCCACTGATTGCCAATGTCAATTTGACGACTTTTTTAGTCTTGAAACGTTCATGTTCTTTTGTTCCAAATAGGGGTCAGTATATGAAGGTGCAGGGTTCTAATATTAATAAGCCTAAAGGCGTGTGCAGCTGTAAAAGTGGATTTCCCATCAAATGTCAAATGCAGTGTCAAACAATGCAGGCTACATTACAATGTATAAGGCATATCAGTCAAAGATTGTCGAAGGCCTACAATTTACAAAGAACATTAATGGACAGGCACATGTTTGAGTGACCAAAAATGCAAACTTGCCGTTTTCACTTTTTGTCCATATATTCTATTGATTAGGGTCATTTTTTTTGTGATAGGTGGTCACATACCATCGATCTTCTAATCAATGTCCTCCTAAATTAAAATGGCACTCCATAAAAATGTGCATCTTAATCTACTGTAACCAAACTGTGGCTTTTCTTTTATAAACTTTTGTCGTACGTGTTCACCATCATGCTTTTACTACGTATTTTCTATAACGATGCCAATGCATTAAGACCTGCTTGCGTGATATCGCAATTCAATGTTTTTTTTTTTTACAACTAACAGTTCATCTGAATGTTTTACATAAATAAATAAATAAATAAATAAATAAATAAATAAATAAAACCTATGTTATATAATAGAGACAAGTTAAAATGTACAACACGCCATGTAATGAGACAAGAAACCAATAAAAAGTTATTTTTGTCTTTTTTTTTTCAAAGTAAGCTACTGAATGATGCAATGCAAGCAAAAACGGTTTCAAATGATGAAACTGTTAGAAATACTTAAATTGCTACAAATAATTCAAAAAGAACGACAATAATTAGTCATTCATCAGGTCTCATTTCAGTAGGTATCATTTCAATGGGTTCTTCATGCAACGCCGTATTACAGGTTTCGTCACGCAGTCTTTTTCCTCCTGTTTTCAAGTGTTGCGTGTTGGGCTTTCAGATGCTTTGGACTGTTTTCTAATGTGAATTATGAGAAAGCGAAAATCTTTCTGCTCACTCCAACTGATTGCCTTCCACACTTACAAGAAATACATTTTTTGCAGACTACGAAACACGAAACAAGTCTTTATTAACTTTACTTCAATTTTACTGAAAAAAGAAGAACCTCACAACAGCGACCCCAATTTACTACACCCAAATTGGGGTCGAATTTTTGGCTGTCTTTTCGCAAAACAAATGTTTCAAATTACTTCTTGTTAACTTCAAATGGCAGAAGCGGTCAAAAATAATATCCAATAAATCTCAATGTTTTCACGCCCGGCAGCTCATACAGCTCGAGGGCAGAAAATTAATATGGGAAGAAAAACACAGGTCCCATGGGCGCTCTTCCTGCCGATAAAAATTTCTGCGGATTTACACTGTTTGGCCTGTCATTCTTGGGGTAATGGCCCGGAATTTCCACAGCTCACATTTTAACTCAGTAGGTTTATCAGAACAACCCAGCAATGATTCTTTTACAATCGTTGTAACAGAGACACAAATCATAATGCTGAGGATTCAGCTAGGCGAGAGCACTGGCTCCCAATACGGCAGATGGTGCTTATCTTGCATTCCTGCGATCACTGTTCGTGTTCACCACCTAGCGCGCCGTGCTAACAAGGCCGTGCCATATAAGCCGCACTCTGAGGTTCCTCTGTGCAAGAACGTGACCTGTGCAAAGTGGCAGCGGCACTGAGGCAACCGGGTGGTTCTGCCCACGGCATTTCTCAATCATCAGGCTTAGCAGCAAAAACAAAAAACACCAATGTCATGAACGAAGCACGGTTCCCACCAATTCAGCGCGATGTTCCATAAGAAATGGATGGATCGTGGGTAGCTCTAACACGGAAACAAAACGCAAAAGGAAACGAAAGAACAAGTTAAAGAACTGAGCTAGTCCAGCTTCCTGGGACTTGTTTTTCTTATGCGCGTTTTACGTGTACCACGTGGTTTGTTTAATGGAATAATTTCATTAACATTTCCTTATTAGGAGCAGTTTGCACAGCTTGTGGCATTTTCAACTAAAAGCAAATATCCAGGTCTGTCAATGTTTACCTTTTCGAACAAGGAGACGTAACAAACATACGGCTCTAAGAGGATACACTATGGCAAAAACTACTCGGTAAAAGAGAGACAGCAGCGACTAACAAACTCCACTAAAGAGGCTTGCCACGCTGAGCTCGCACAGATACAGGTTTGTAATGTTGACAGTTTAGAAAGAATATAGTCTTTCCTGCTAACATTTTGACTGCCATAGTTTAAAAATATCACTGAGAGTGAATAAGTAGGGTTGAATACCACTTTCCAGTAACGGTATGCTGAATACACCCCTTTCTTTGTGTTACAAATACAATATATTTTTTCTTGTACATTGTATCAAATACAGTATATGAACTGGCAGGCCATTACATACTGTGTGCGTTTTTCTTGACCTTTCTGTTATTCATGATTTAACTATTAGACGAAATAGCTGTGCTTATAAGTAGTTTTTAAAGACAAAAGAACGAATGTCAAAATAAAGCGGTCTTTTGTAGCATTAATTGGCTTTAAGATGATATGTTTAAATCATCTTAAGTCCACAAGTTGCTAACAAAGTAAAGAAAAAAGTACACACATACACATTTGAGGAAAGGCACAAAGGCACATATTATGGCAAAAGATTAGATCGGAGAGAACAAAAATAAAATCATGATAGACGAGCTGCTTTCGTAAATTTGATGGGCTTTTTCAAAAGAAAATTCATTAAACCTTGCTATCTTTGATCAATAGAACAGTTAAAGTTTACATATTAACCACCAAGTTAAAATATAGAAAACGCGATCAAAATCTGTGTAAATGGAGCACTTTATCCTAGAAATTTGCCGTTTGTGCCTTTAACAATGTAGGGACTTATTAGGATATATATATATATATATATATATATATATATATATATATATATATCATAAGACAGAGCAGGTGTCTTAAAGAGCAACTTTGTAAATTGACTCTTGCTGAGTAATTAGTCCTCCACTTCCAACAGAAGCCAACCAAATACTAACTAATCAGGGATACAAGTTATGAATATTAAAATATGGATATGGATGAAGCGTTGCTGTGAGCCCAAATCTAGTTCGAGCCAGACACTTAATCATTTGATCTTTCCCAAGAATTTTCAAATATCTGTTAGTTACATGCAAGGAGTCGATTATAAGATTATAATAATGTGACCGCTCTGTTTAAAAATCCCATCGTTAAAGACGCTATCAATGTCATTTACCATGTGGAAATACACAAGATTAAAATGTTTCTTTTCTATATTTCACTTAATGCCAGTAAATTGTTGATACACCCATACTCTGCCTGTTGGATTATTTCATTTCGAGAAAGACAAGATAATGTCAAATCGCATCTCTCACTGTTGGGATCACATGTGATGAGGTAATAGAAATTCTGTGTGGAAACCTAATCGATTCGATTTGACCAAATAAAACATATTTCGCAAATTAGCAGTGTGAACAATCTGTAAAAGGAAAACTGACACTATTGATTCAAAAAGCTCCTAATTTTTCCAACCCGTTAACGAAATGAAAGATTATTTCCTTCAGACTGTGATCTGCATACTTAACGTGCTGATCAGACACATTTGGGCCAGGTCGTGTATCTTTATTGTTTCTGTAGGATGTGGCTATTTTCCTGTACGTGTTCAGAATCAATGTCTATCTAGGGGACATTCCTGTGCCGCGATAATCAATAACCTCAGTTAAGTCTGATCCGCTTTGGCAATCAGTAGCAAGACGGAAGGAAAACCTTAAAACCCGTCTTTAGTTAATTAAATGTTTAAAGGCGCTGGAGCATCACATTCCCCGGTGACTATTATGCTAGCAGATCTGTATATGTAGTTCTATGGGAAAAATCCCATTATATTGTCGGTAGGGTAATTACATACCGGAAACGAGGCCGATTATGGAAAAACATCTTGGCCGGAAGATAACGATATCTGGCTACTGGCAAAAGTACCAATGCGTCTTTTATTGGCTGATATCAGTAAATGGTTTCCTTTCATTCTCTAAATATGCAATAACGTTTCAATTGATGTAAGGTAGTTAATTTTGTTCTCTTTCTCTGCCTTAAATTTGCTTAAAGCTAATAATTCAAAACGTCTAAGAATCCTAAATTGCTATAATAGCAGATATTTGGTGACATATTGACTGTTATTCAGTGGTAAGATAGAGAAACAAACATTTCTATAAAGAAAAGAAAAACAGAAAAACAGTGATGAACATCTCCCTATATTTCATTGAGCACGCTCACCAACATTACCGCAAAAGCCACAGGATCTTTTAGATCTTGACCTGATAGTCTACCGTCCTTGAAGAATCCAGTATCTGTGGTTTAGCGGTCGAGGAATTGCTTACTATGGGCTCGTTCCCAATGAAACAATCGTTCTACGTGCATGGATCCAACTCCGATGGGACTCTCGCTGAATGCAATCAGGCTAACACTCCTCTTCTTGTTTCCAACGTACTCGTATAATCACCAGATCTACGTAGAGCGATAGTTTCAATGGGAAAGAGCCTTTATGTCTCCTCATTAACCCAAGCGAATGTATAAGTAAAGGACAAACACGAATATGGTGTTCGAAATTTGGCCGATAGCGACCGCTTTTATTGAAAGGTCCTATAGTAAAAGAACATGTTAAAGCATAAATAATAAATATCCAAACAAATAGCGCACATAATTTCATTTGTGGGGTTGCAAAGAGAAGAGCCTTATGTCATTTGTATCACCGTTTGACCGCGTGCGACTCTAGGGGTATGTGTTAAAATCAGATTTTTTCTAACCTGAGATAGCTAAACTTATACCGTGAAACATGTGCAGTTAGAGTGTGTTCCTTTAAGTGGTTAATTGCAGTGTGTATTGCGTTCCTTAACATCCTGGCAATCTGTCAAGATGGTCTTCGAATTGCGTTTAGCGGAAATAATTTGATGACCATAGATATAGATATTTAAAGAGGACAGTCATTGTACACCACTGTAATGTACGCTGGCAACTGCTTTGATTTTAACATGTTTTTCCTGGGCTTTAAATGTGATTTTACTTTAAGTAAAGGGATCTTTTCTTTTTATTTGCATCATTTAGCGTTTTACACATACGCATGTATGTCTTGTCGAACAATTTACAGCGGACTCGGCATTTGCGTTTTGCACAGATAATTGCATCCGTGTTTTTCAGTGCTATAAGTTGGGTTATATAAAATATGTTGTTTTTTATATACCATCCACATTTGCAGAAATTTGATGTCAGCATATAGGAATATCGGTTCCACAGTCACTAAGGGATTCAATCAGCAGCTTTATCAGGAAACAATAATGGGCTGTCGTTATCTATTCTATTGAGGGATAGATATAGGCAATGGAACCGTTTATCATTCATAGCACACAGGCTTACTGTAACTGATGTGAGAGATAAAAGATTACATATGATCCTTTTCGTGAAGCTAGTTTCTGTATCTTGAGTTAGATTTGTTGGCGTGAATAAGTAATCAATGAAATGGAATAAAACTAATTATATTACATCTTTACAACGTACTTTGTCTCGGTTGTTATCAAAAGGAGAGTCTTAATTTGCATGGAAAAGTAAAAGTCATGTCGACGCTGCTATGTACATGCGTCAATGCAATGTACTTTATATACTTAATGGACAATGGGAAGTCAAATATATCATGCAAACTCATTTTTCAAATTCATATATTTATTAACCCGGGTATCTTTCCAGACAAATGAATGGATCAAGCATTTGGAGCACAATAACTAAAATAGACATGCTGCTGAAAAAAGCCAGGATATTAAAAAAATTGCGTGTTCAGAATGCAGTTTTCTGTTTATCCTGCGACTGTGATAAGTCACGTCTGATCGTGCCTTGGGCTTTTGGTAGGCGACTACTTTGCACACCAGCACCGGAAATCGGTTTCCTTGGCTTTGTATTGGTTAACGACAAGACAACTCAATATCCTTTCATTTACTTGAGCTACCTAAAACCGGAGCATAAGTTGAATTCTCGGGAATCTTACAGGTTGTGTAAGGTCAAGTACAAAGAACTATAATCTTAACGCCAACGTATTGGTTACTTTTGGAAGAATAATACGTTAATACCTAACACGAATGATCAAGCTCTAGAGGTTCTAATTACATTTTTACAGTAACAGACCAGCACCACCGTAAAGATAAAAAAACCAAAATAGAAGTATTACAGCATGATTATTCGAGCTCTTAAATACCAAAATAGAGTCCCTGTCTCACATTATTTTAAATCCCTAGATTAGATTACAAAGGAAACTCAAGTGGGACGTACTACACCATCTGTCATGAAGATCATGGTGTAGTGTGTTTCAGCTGCTTGTAATATTGTCTACTGCGATACAGCAGGTTTATGTAACCCAACCATATGGCACAAGGGTTTTCAAGGATATGATGTTTTAATGCAATATATGAATAGAAGGTGAATTTTCGTGGAAAAGCATTGAAGTCGATGTAGAACAGACAGTGGTGATGTAATTGTTTTGATTTTGATATTCAGGTTTTCATAGGTTAATCACTGTTATCTAAAATATGCAATCTGACAATTTAACGCCAAAGACTTTTGTATAATTGCTGCTTTATAGATGATGATAATCCGCCTGTCGCTAATTATTCCAGTACACTTGGAACGGAATATTTAATGAAAACGTCAAGCAACCCCATAAAAAGGATAAACTGTGGAATTAAATTACTTAAATTAAAGTCAAGGCAAAGTTGCCTTTTTAGTCTGTTTAGTTTACTGTTGTCATTAAAATAATCCTAAGCGAAAATTAAGGTATTTGTTAAGAATTGGGACATTTTCTTCATTACATTCATTACATTTAATAGTGCGTATGTTTATTATGTTCATTTTTTAAATACATCATGGAAGCAAGTCCAAACAATGCCTCAGCATCATCATCTTGTGTAGAGATTGGACGTATGAAACTATTTCGCCGGGTGCTGTTTTGAATATAGAATAACTGCATATAGCGTGTTTGAAAACAAAATGCTAGAAAATACGCAATTCAAATTTTACTGTAAAGGGAAAAAAGAGCGTGTGCATGACTTAACACGTGATGGATGAATAAGATTCTGAAATCCAGATTTGCAAGTCCACAAATCGAAATAATGATGAACGAAACTGCAACGATATGCTGATAGAAGGTGGTAAATTGATTGAAAAGGAAATCATCAAATTACGCTAACACTATTGTGGGCAGTATTTTGCGTTTGCTCATTATTAAAAGCTGTCATTCTTAGCTAATACATTTCGCGGTTTTTAAATATTTTGCATTATCTGACACGATATGTGGCCTTTTAATACAATAACCAATGATTACGCTGGTCCTTTTAACTCTTCTGGATGAAAACGTTTGGAGGCAATTTACGTAAAGAAACGCCAATATACAAGGGAAAAATTCTCCGAGAGAAATATACTTTTTAAAGTTTAAGGTACTTAAGTTGTAAAATTGACACCTTTCTTAATGTTCAACATCACCTAACCCATCTATTAATAACACCAGAAGCAGGCAAGTTTTGTAGATATTTGCTTTAAAATTTTTTTGATCCCTGGAAGGGAGTTTATACCATTGACGACAATACTGGGTTATATCAGTATTTCATTTGATGCAAAGTTACCCACACTGTCTTGGGAATTTATTGTAAATGTGAACCATTGAGTCTCTGAAGTATATTACGAAAGATGTATAGTAGAACCAATTGATATAGATTGACATCAAATACGAAATCAACCAATATTGGGCAAATGGTTGAAACCTCCGAGTGGATATTCCCGGTCACAATACAATCCTTCAAGCTGTGCACTTGCCGCGGGCCAATTGTATTACGTTGGCATCTAAAACATTTTATGAATATGCACACGATCTTATGACATTATTTTGATTACTTTAATGTACATACTTTGACTTTCGTTCGTGAGAATAAGCGCACATCAAATAAAGAATAAAAATAAAAATCGGTGTATCTTTTAAAATATAAGAAGAAATTGATCTTGTTATCCGGCATACCGGACGGCAACGAGACACGCTAACTGACACTGTTTTATTATCCCAGATGTCGCTGCTGTTCATGCGTCACCAAGGTGATATACATAATATAATAATGCCTCGTGTTTCAGGTTGGCGCCACTAAGGCAGTATCATGAGCGGAGAGGTGTTGGAAGAAACAGTTGGACCTAGCTTGGCTGCGGTGGTCGCCAAGGGCTCATCCCTGGGAGTCGTTCTTACTGCCGTGATATGCGTCAATGTGGGGCTTATTCTGAAGATCAGATGGATGTCACAAACAGGAGGAACTCGGAACCCAATTGTGTCCCATTTGGTTTTATGTATGGCAGTGATCAACACAGCCACCGGCGTTATCAATATTGGATCACTAATGGTGTCAACTATAAAAGGTATGGCGTTAATGTTTTATAGTCGATCAAAGTTAACTCGAATTAGATTTTTCAAAACTTAAAAAAGTCCCACTAGCTTTTTAGCCAATTGTTCTAACACAATGCTTACTGATATAATAGGCTATAAAACGTAAAAGAATTGGTGCCATATACGTCTGGCGCTGTTCATAACGGATAACAGTCTGCGTTCAGTTTTACACGCGGACGGAATCCTAAGGTTCACATAGTATAAAATGAGCTGCCGTTCACTGGAAGTAAGCAATCAAGCGAGAGAAAAATAACTTTCAGTCTTGTAGGACTTTACCTACAGACTTTTCATCCTGTTTGCGTTCGTAATCTGCTAGTTTACATTTTACGTTATTTATGTAATGTACCTTCGAAGCCTTTAGCGATATTTTATCATTCAGTTGAAAGTGGCAAACTAAATACAGCTGAAATGACCACTTTCTGATATTTGGTATTGTCAAACTTTTATTATGTATAAATTGCAGTACGACGATCAATTTCCCCGATCTTGTATATTTCTGTTTAGTAATATAAAACTGATTAGAACAAGTATTGTAAGGCTTTATGTGGCTGTTTTATATGCCTTTTGAGACAATTTGTATACAATGGCCTGCAGCTGCAACCGGGGTCTTAGAATAGAGCCTCGTTAAGTGAACGATGAGCTGTCTCGCTTCTCAATCTTTGCCACCTTAATGGTCTATAAGATAACACACTAACAGTTCATAGAAAATCAGCGTATTACACAGGTGTCAGCCCGTCTTATCTTGGCCTGTATTGACGAAATTGAACTTTGTTCTTCACAGTTTGTTTTCAGAGCTTACTCTTGCTTTATTAGCTTTCAAACATTAGAGATCGTATACAGTATACCCTTGAACCACCTTTTATAAATTGCTTTCACTGTTTCAACGATTCGGTTTGAATAACGAACTTTTTAGATTTGGTAATTTTATAGTAGGACCAGTAATTTATCATCTAGAAAGAATCTACTAGTAAAATTACCTCGACAATTCGACAATTTTATTGTTCGACAGTCATCTTAATTACCAACATTCTATGAAATTCCATATCCAAAATCACCATTTTATGTAGATAGTGAGCAGTCTTTTTTTTTTACTTCGATTAGCCGAAATGCTGTAGTTGGCAATATGCAGTACATATTTTTTTCTTTGGGTGAGGTTAATTCATTAGCAGAGCTTGCGAGTTTCTTACATGTACAGAAAAGACATTAGTGCCTTGAAAGAAAAGTGAAATAATTAAGTTTACAAAATATTTATTAACGTAAAAATTCTAGATAAACGACACTCAAATATCAAAGTAGACTCTTCTTTACGCTTATAAAGATGTGTGGAATTCCACTTTTAAAAACGGACAGGATGATGATTTGTTGCAAATGTATATATCTGAACACAGCAGAGCGTGCTAAACACCAATGACATCCGTGATGTTATATGCATAACAGATGGCGAAGACCTTCGTTTGCGCCTGAGGCGTCAGTGCCCTGTTGATACTCCTTGTTTCTCTCGTTGCCCCCGCAGTGATCAAAGAGCGCATAACATGACTGTAAATTACTAGAACGTTCATTTTATTTATGTTTAGACCACAGAAAGACGTTTTCCCCTAAATGCTTAATGTGTTTGTCTTCCAGGCAGCTATGTCTTTAGCAGTGGTCTGTGTCAGTTCATTGGGTATATAGGAAGTATGCTGTTGGCCGGTGTTACAATGATGACTATGATTGCTGCCGTTGAAAGGTAGGACCACCCATATATACAATACAGTTTTTGTACGTTGCAAAACATTCCTGATAGGCAAAATATGCAAACTTATCTACACAAACGCGTTCACCTGGACGCTGTGAAAATGTTGGCGTCTTTTTCCGACATTTCTCCAAAACTACCAATTGCGACCAGCCTACCAGTCAGATCTTTATAAAGGAAACGTCTACTAATTGTACCTAATTCCGTTGTCATTCAAAAGACAATAATGCACGTAGTGGACTGCTGAGTGACGTCTGATCTACATAAATTTTTACCGTAGAGAAAAAAGTTATGGCCAGCGTGACGTCCTGATTTGATAGACTGAAGTTAACTGAAATAATTGGTGTCCTAAGAATGCTGTCAACAGTAATTAGAAATCACAATCGGTCATTGACCGAGCCCCATTACAGGGGGTCCCTTCTCTGATTAAAAGAATTAATTCAAAAGACATCAGTAAATAATCTATACATGCGCATGTGTGTGTATATTAATGTGCTACCTACTACCGAGCATTGTTAGTTCCAGATCATTTGGAGAAAGTTTTTAAAAAATATATGACTGAGACGATGTTTCATGAATCAGCAGAATGAATAAGACGGCATGAATCTTATAACGTGATACTGCGCACCATTATGTGGCGATTTTAAAGAACATCATTTTCACCTCGATTATTCAATCTATCTACATGTATCTATCTATCTATCTATTTTAACCTTGTTCTGCTGTCATGTCATAAAATGTTGGTTTTTGTTTTGATTTTTTTCAACTTTAAAACGTTTAATGATTCTTTTAGAAGCAACAAAACATTTATGTTTTGTTAAGAAAAACATTGCAGGGGCAGGTGTAAATTATCAAGGTTAAAGAACGTTACAGATTATGTTTGGAACAATGTGACTGCAAATTGTTCACTGTGTTGCTTAACACAATAGTACACAGCTGTGGCACCCTGTCAGTTACACTTTTTGTAAGACACTATTAATGACAATTATTCAACCCAGTAGGCCTTGCAGTAGACACGAAGACATGTTGGATATCATTCTCAGAACATCGTGGCATCACGCTTAGATTAAGTTAATTATGCATTCACCTCCTACTGTGTTGTTTATTAAAACCGTCTTTAATAACTGGTCTTATCTTCCTGCTCAGTTCTTTCCTGCTCAGTTCTTTACTGTAAACAACGAGTTTCTTGAATATCCTTGAATTCCGTAGAAAGTGTTCCATCCGGTATCTTATATACCTTTTTCCATTCAAGGTCAGAGTCCTTATGAAAATAACGACGTTAGCCAGCACCATGTTATAGATTCTTTCTTTCATGATATAAAGAAAATTGAAAAAAAATGGACAACTTAAAAACCAGTACCCCAGTACTAACAGAACACGGAAGTTGGATAATCATTATGTTACACGCGTAACTGGATGACCTACATGAACATATCTATACAGGATGTATAAAGAAGATAATTAGAATATCATTCCATAGCGACAAGAAACGGCAGTCCAGAAATAGTTCCAGACTTCAACCAAATCTATAAAAGTTCACGTATATGATGTCAAGCAAACTTTCCCCGGATTTAGGTTAAACTATATCTGAAATTCCTAGGTAATAATATAACCATAGCATCGTATTAAGCTTTCCATTCAAAAGTCATTACGTAAGATGAAATATTCTTTGCGTAAATGTCAATGGCGTGCCTTACGAATGCAATATTGCCTTCCAGATTTACCAAGTTTATGAAGCCAGTGGATTATCCATCGCTTTTTACGCCTACAAATCTGAAGATAATGATAGGAGGGGTCATTCTACTCATTCTTCCCATTTTTGCCGGGCCTATCTACGGATTTGGAGAATATACCTTCCTTAGGGGTAAGTTTGTGTTGGAAGCAATAAAAATCTAGAATTTTGTAATTGATAAGAAAGCTCTCAAATCACGATTGGTTAGTTGAAGGTTCCGTTCACATGGCAAACAGATCATCTTCCCTGTGACACCTGTTTCTGCTATCTGATTAATTATAAGCTCACAGTGAGCGTGAGACTTTTCATAGTAAACATTTAATTATCCTAGAAATTCAACACATTTCCCTTAATCACTAAGGTATACCATAACCAAAGCTGCTCACAGAATTGCCACCTTAATCCTGGCCGGGGGTTCAAAGTTTTTAGTTTTTGAGTCAGTCTCGTGGTGGAGACGGAGACTATTGAATTTCGCCTCTAAAAAATTAGAAATGGGAAACGGGTTTAGTTTTTTTCACCTCAAAGCAAAGATCAAAATATTAACACAAGTACAATCAGGGAAAGTAAGCCTAAATAAAGATATTGGCCCTGTCGCACAAAAGAAGTAAGAAATTGTTATTATTAATAAGACTACCTGTTATTTTGGTTTACTGATGATATATCGATGCCGTAGTAGAGTCAACTGTACCTCTACTTTCGACTTCTAAAGAATTTGCGAAACATGGCTCAGTGGAAAAAACGGCTGTAGGTTGGAAAATGAAATTGCTAGTTCTTCTGCCTGAAGTTTGCTCCACCAGAAAATCTACACAGAATAACCAGTTTTGTAAGTTAAGTGTGATAATACTAATTATACTAATTTAATGTTGATACGCCGGAACTGAACGGCCCCTATTATCGAAATGGAATATTGCAGGCCAAGTTCATGTCAATCATGGCTAGCGAGGACTGAACAGAGAGTACGTATCTGCTTTCACTTAAACAATGCCACGCAAGATAGAGATTAGTATTAGGCCCTCTTTTTTCAATTTCAGGAAAAATACACATGCACCTAGCTGTGATAAACATCACAAATGAAACACAGTTGGATATCAGCCAGATGCAGGCGACTGCGCTCAAGTTCTATGGGTTTCTTCACAATGAAGACAACAACATCACAGGCTCAGCCGCTGTTCGAACTAAACAAAACATCCGAAATTTCTTCAGTGTTTCAAGAGAGGTTCAAGTTAGGGAAATAGTAATCTCCCCAACAGCAATCCAGTTTACACTGCGTGCTTACAACTATGCCGCTCTTTCTAAATTGTGGAAAGAGCAAAAAGAACACACGCTCGGCGAAACTCTTGGAAACATAGTTAATGATAACTACACTCTTAACTTATTGCAAGTTCAAAGACTCCATTTTGGAACCTTCATGTCCCAAGCGGAAGTAGAAAAATACCGACAGGTGCCACTGGTGTATCAAGGTATGAAGACCTAAAAGTGCATTTTTATTCTAACATTTAGATAATGATGGCATGTCGACTTACTTGTAACAGATGAGGCAATTTTGCTAAGACATTATGCACTTTAAGACAATCTGCGATTGAATTTGTGCATTTTTGTATTTAGGGTAGTCGTGTTTTTATCTTTTGTATGAAAGTTTTCAAGTTTATTCCTTTATCCAGTGTAAAGCCATTTGTAATTGTGTTTTTCCGAGTCTGTCTTGACTACTTTGACATTCCGAATCGTTTTCATTACAGAAAACAGCCACTGCAGCCTAGATTATACGGATGTGAACAAAAACATTAAGGGCTTCATTGGATACCAGTCCATTTTTACCATGGTGATTCCGCACTGTGTTATCTTTTACTGCTATTTGAGAATTCTCTGCAGACGATCTGAGCCCACACAGCCTGGTTCAGAGATCACTACATTCGATTCCAAAATCGTCAGGGTATTCGCCACGTCTGCCCTACTCAACTTCATGTCACAGTTTCCGCATGTAATAACAAACATACTTTTTGGAATGGGAATATTTATCCAGCCAGCAGTATATTTTCTCTTGTCGATATTCCCATATTGCTCACTAGTCGTGTTAGGTCTCATGTACTGGGCAACGTTTGCGGCGGATGTTTGCAGATTATGTTGTTGTTGTTGCTGCCCGGTGGAGAACAGGTCGTCAGAAACTGCGTCTATGTTTGAAGTGTCGCAGGTGATGTTGCTAAGACGCAATAGCAGCAATGCAGTGAACGATAGGTCTGCTGCTCGTGTTAACATTTTGGATTCGTCTGCGTGATATGACCACATCGACATTAGCATTATGCCTTTCGCTTGGCGATTCAGACTCTGCACGTTTTGTGTGTATATATATATATAGCCTATATCTTGGAAGTACATGTAATTTTCCGGACTGGTACTATTATCAGACAATCTTTTTTATGGACCCTCCAGTTGTTTTTTCCAGCTGATTTTATAATCCTATAGGCTACTACTTTGGAGCGTTTCAGTCTACCATGTAGACCATGCCTAGCATGAATTTGTATAAATTTTGACTTTAAAGGATATAAAAATGTACAGTTTATGTATTATTGTTATGTATAATTTAAATATATTTATTTTGTGCTAAACGTCATCTTATTTTTGTAAACATTGACAGAAGGAGAGAAACAGTGCCTTTTGCGTGATGTATGTTATCGGGGGCCTTGCTTTAAGATGTACGCTAATAAGGGCTGTAATTGGTTCGCGTAAATCTATTGTGCTTGTAATTGTGACTAATTTACGAACGCTCTTGGCCTTTTTATTATACTGCATCCATTAATGGCGTTAATTAACGAACGCTGTTGGTCTGTTCCACATATGAAAGTACTTTGAAACAAACAAAGCTCTCGAAATGATTTCATACGTATTATTTTTTGCATGATATTTTTCATATGACCAAAATCTCAAACAGTCATCGCCATCACACGTATGGATGGATACGGCCTTTCACATCATAACTTCACCCACCATTTTACAAATTTGCCAACTAACATGGGTAAAGCAGTGCGTACTTTGTACATGTATATCATGTTTGAGGATTGGCTTCAGAGTGTTTTACTTGACACATGTAGCCACGCAACTAAATGGCTCTGGGGGTGGAAACGTGTTCAAAATAGCTAATACTGTTCTTGTCACGTCACACTATCAAAAGCGACGATCGTGCAAGACGAATTAGTCTCACTTGGCTGGCGTATATACTTTAAGCCACTTCATTGGATCAGGAGGCTAGTCACTTATAAATATAGTTTGTGTCATCATGTCTTTTACAGTAAAAATCATATTAAAAATCATGACATAATATCAAATAAATGTCTCCTATTCAGCTTGTTCGCTGATAAAAAGGTTATATCAAGTAGTAGGCCCCTATATTGTTCCATTTTCTCTTGTTTCTACAAGCAAAGGTATGACCTTGAAATGTATAGATAGTATTTATGGTTCAGCCGTTAAACCTCATTTGAGGGTATTTTCGTCAAATCAGGTGAAAACTTAAAGTAGAATTTAGGAAATTCGAAAATGATCCTTCTTTTAAGTTGGACCATAAATGAGAAGTTAGAAAGCAGCATAGATGTCTGTTATACACAGCTATGAAGAAGAATGTTGGATATTAGCTGGACAGACCATGTTCCAAACACAGAAGGGTACAGACCACTACCACCGTTATCATCTGTAATCAGGAAAAGAAGGCTGCAGTTTGCTGAGGCACTGTGTCCGCACTTTAGACCAACCAGTCTCGTACTTTGGACACCAACTGGAGGGAGGCTACATGTAACAGAGGCAGACCAAATGTAGCATACCACCATGATTGATACTGGTCTGCAAACAAATTAGGTCATTTAAATAATGAGAGAGAAACAACTCAGGTCTAAACGTGTTGCTGCTGCTGCTCCCATTCCGCCCAAGGACGAAGGATGACGATGATGATGATGATGATGATGATGTTGATGATTCAATAACATATGTTGAAAATTGTTTGAGAAGAACTTACATTTGTCGAGGTATTTTTCTTGATAAACAAAAGTTAATGCATATCATACAGCCATCGTGTGTTTCATGTCGGTAATACGTAAATTAATGCAGTAGTTTGTTGGATTCTTTCTTTGAAGTATCAAGAATGGACTTGCAGACCTATCATTAAACATATTTCTAAGCCATTGGAAAAACTACACACAAAATAGATTATTTATACTGTATCTAATAAAATAGATGTTTAATTCTGAGCTACGTACAGAAACATTTTGACAATAAACTGGTGGATTAACAGAAATGAAATATATCAGCAATCGCCTTATACATTGATACTGTTTAAAATCGGTTACCTTAGTAACCCTCTTTGACTCATTTAAATTTGACCATGTCCATATGATAACAGAAACGAATTAATATTGGTAGCTGGGAGAGAAATATGTCCATAATTATAAACCATATACATGTACGTATCAGTTTATCGCTTACACTGAGACTAAAATCTCAAGAAAAAAACGTTTCATTCTTAACTCACCAAACATTCATATTTGACTCTTCTAAGATGGCCATCCCTAGCGAAGAATCGCTTTTATTTCTCACGTGAATTACAAACATATATGCTTAAGCTTATGACGTTATATTTTGAAAGTAAAACGCTTCAGTACCCTCTACTTCTGTCTCTCCGTGTTACATGTACCTCAATTAGAAATATAAATTAATTAATACGGGGGTTATTATGAAAATGGGGGCATTTTGGCATCTCATTTTTTTGTTATGTGTATTTTGCTGCGGTATGTATTAATTTGAAAGCCAACAATATGCTTGCAAACGAATGCGTGTAGAAAAAATTTACAGATTAACGCGTTTTAAAAGACAGACTTATGATATCACGGTTATCTCCTTGAATTTACTCCAAACTGGATATCTGTCTACGGTTTGGAAATTTAGATTGTGATAGTAGAGATACCCGATTGTTATTTGAAGAGAAAGAAAATGCACAATGAGGGCTTATCTAACATAATAAAAACATTGCTTTGGGTGCTCAGGCATTGGGGATACTTAAGTCATTTTGTAAATGCGCCTTTTACCATGGTATATTTTTCGGTGATTTAAGTTATACATTATTTGTAGTTCACCAGTAAAGTACATTTTTACTGTCGTTACGAGACTTTTATGATTGGAGAAAGCAAGGAATAAATCAACTTTACTTTATCAACTTGAATGGACTGAAATGAAACGGTGTTTGCCAGGCCTACCCAACTACCAGACTCGGCACCTAAGGATCCTGAATTAACCGGTATATCGGACCACACTACCCGTTTTCAAGGTGTGTGTCAGATCGCATTTCGGAGTATCAGCCAGAACACCGACAGGATGAGCCCTGGCATGCTCGGCTGTCACTTTGGTTGGATAGTAAACGATTGTCGTAAAATCGCTATATGATTTTAAAACCGGGCGCATATATTTGAAAGCCACCTAGATGAACCTTAGACTGCCACATTAATCTAATACAATGCAAAAAAAGCCCTATCAAAAGTGGTTAAAACATTCAAACCGAATGTCGTAAAGTCCCCATATACCCCCATAGAGACAATAAAATAGAGTACTCTTAAGTAAGAGTACAGTTTCAGGTTGTTCAGCCGAGCGTGGATGAGCCCGCAGTCGTGCTACAAAATTTGTTCTGGGGTATGATACTCCGAAATGCGCTCTGACAGACACCTTGAAAACGGGTAGCGTGGTCCGATATACCGGTTAATTCAGGATCCTTAGGTGCCGAGTCTGGTAGTTGGGTAGGCCTGTTTGCTTTGCGCAATGACTCATTCTTTAGCATAACAAGATAAGCACGAATAGAAAATGGAAAACAAGAAAATACAAATGTTCATGTAAGAGAAATTCCAGATCAAGCACTGTGACTTGTTACCTATCTCGTTACCTTGTGATAGGGAACGTGTATAATAAATCCCTCGATCATGTCCACTTATTGATTGGCACAGTATGTCAAGGAAATAAAATGCAGAAATTAATTATCTACCCGAGTTATAAAGATATGCATCCAGTTAAAGATTGCCAGCGCATGACGATTACAATTTGGTACTAGGATAACGATGGTTAAAGCATTTATTGAACACAACAAAATAAGAATAATATATTAGTATTCGTGCAATTCATTCTTTTTAACTAAATAACACGTGTCACATAACATTCATGTTTTAATAAACACGTACATCGTCATAAAATGAATTGTTATAGATTGTTTACAAGTGAATAATTAACATGTAGGCACTATTATACAGATGCATGGTGACGCTATTTTCCAGTAACTGGTGCCGAAGTCACCTATCAAATTTTGCAGTGTTTACATTTTCAAGATAACAGCTACCTCGACAAAACCTTAACCTTGGCGTACCTTATCGCATTCTTTACAGCATATTGTTAACACAGGACGTGTTTTACAGGGCGCTGTAAACGCTGAGCGATGCACTACTTCCTGATTATTTGGATCATCATTTTTTCAGGTAATCGAGTTTTATTTATCAAGTTCCAACTGCACAATTATAAAATCTATAGACTATGCAGCGTTCCCATTCCATCGTCATCACTAAACAACAACTCAGTGTCAATAATTCTTATCTTAGTATTCACTTTGTTTGTCGGATTTTCTCATTCGAGTAACATTTGTTATTAGAACGCATTTAATTAAAAATAATAGCCCGACAAGTATCTTTCGGGAACTTATAATAGAACATCTTCTTTCGTTTAATTTTCCAACACACTTATTCTAATGCTAGTTATCTTGGGTTGGTAAGATTTTGTTAGGGCAAGCCTGGGTCTCAATAATTATGTGGACTGAGTTGGAACTAGGACCTCACAGGACGGAGTAACTTAAATAGTCTTTTTGTTAAATAGTTTTTGTAGAACTTGATTTCTTAGCCCAAGACAGGAAATCAGGAGAGGGGGAGTAGAGTAGAACATGCATTCTCAATATGGAAATCTATATATTTTTGGTAACGAGGAACAATACCTAATGTCGAACAAGACATGATTATATGAATTTCGAGTTTTATAACATAGCCATTTGAAGCTCAAAAATCCACAGTAAGAGACGAACGCGAAATGGGTCGTGTCAACCTCGCATCTATGAAGTTCAGTAAGTGGCGAAACCGACACAGCCATGTCATTTTCGGCTCTAAAAGCTCTGTAATAAAAGACGAACGCGGCATAGACCTCGTCGTTTTCGCATGTAAAGAGGCGTCTAAAAGACGCGCGCGTAGGCTCCCATGGGCCATGGTAGCC